TAGTCCGGCTTGTCTTCAATGTCACATCTGCCCTGTGACTCGCTAGCAACCATCGCCATGTAGGTGAGTGGACTGGCACTATCTACAACATACCCCCGACGAGTTATTAAATACCGTTGAGGAGATGGTAAGGATGATATAGCCTCATCATGCCAATTTTGATGGCATCCTGAGGTCTAATCAGCTCATTGTGACATGATTTTCAATTTGGAGGCTAAGTTGGCCGAAATTAATTGGTAAATTGGTCGTACTGGAAACCGAATAAGGATTGACTACGATTGCGATGATGAGGACTTTTTTGCACAATCCAACCGTCTTCACACCACAGCAATCCTCCTTTGGGCCCCAACAAGACAAAGTACCAATTCTTTCCAGCCAACTTTTTACTCAAAAGTTGAACGTCATGCCACAACAAATGAGTAAAAAGTCTTCGAAACCCGATTTTTTTTCATATATACACATCTCATTCTATGGAAAAACTTAACTATTAGTCTGAAATTCAACCTTACTGGTACTCTCGGCAAGAACTTGTATCGAAAATCATTTTCGAGACTATCTGGCAGCCTAGGCTGCTTTGGAAGATTTAATGACTTGTAAGGGAGTTTGTCCACCAAGAATAGGATTAGGTCGCAGTATGCCATTGAATTCCACGAATAACCCGCCTATTAGAAGGTTCCTCCATCAGAGTTGGAATTAACGACAGTTTCGACCTCGTCTGGGTCTTGCATCAGAACCCCTAACGCGATTGGAATACGCATCGTAAGCATCATGACGACCGGTGACCATTACACCACACAACCCTAACTTTCATCGGAAACCAGGCCTCTCCAGGGGTATGTGTAGAGTGGAGGTATTTTCAGTCAATTAAACTACTTATATTCTATGAGTAGGCGAGGTATTTAATTCATCCTAAGCGACCTGGCCTGGCTAAGCTCTTAATCCGTTCTCACAAATGTGATGTTTATTGGTTTCACTGATAAAGACAATATGGAGCTTGGATATGTGCTCGGCCCCTTCCAAACCATGCGGTCCCAGCAAATTGAGACCAAAATGCCTTCCACAGAGAGTCTCCTCTTGGATGGTAACATTGGCATCGGCCAGTTGGTACAACCCAATGTTGGCTACCTCAATGTACGTCTCTTAGATGCACACCGAAAACTTGGTATGCATGGCGAACATCTCTGCAATACTGTCAATTCGTCACTTTCATTTCGAGTGAGAATGTTGGGTGAGGAGGTTCGAGGGTGGGAGTCATTAAGCCTAAACCAAAGAAGGTACGTCTGGTTTGGATGGTGAGCTTAATCTAACATGTTGGACGAGTGTGAGTGATGGCGGCTCAACACCCTCTCTCTCTCTCTCTCTCTCTCCTGCAGTCTATCAATCAAACATAAATAGTTCTGTGCGAAGAAAAGTTGGCTTTCGAGGAAGCGTTTGCTTCACAATTGTTGAGCTTACTTCCCTTTCGAGTGAAAATGTTTGGTGAAGAGATTCGAGAGTGGATCCCACCAGAAGACAGTGACGGATTCCTCTTGACCAGCTGTCGAATTGCTTTACTGGAACATTCTTGTTGAAAACATGTTAAGCTTTCGACCGACGTATGACGAATATGATCAGAGGAAGGTATCTGTAGTGCGTCCAACTAGGTCGCCTTGATAGCACGACCAAGCTGCGAAAGCGAGGTCAGTCCATTTTTCCAGAATGATCTTGAATAGTTACTTGGGATAGGTTGCTTAAGGTGATCTAAGGACTAATATTTGTGCTTTTCACACCTCTATAGCTGTGGGAATAGTAGTAAAGCAGTTGAATGTGC